ACTCTGGTACTTATTTACCGGGGTCCTCAGGCATGTTAACCTCTCTGAGCCTAGTCTCCACATCTGCAAAATTGGAAAAATTTTCAGGCACCACACAGCTACCTCCCTGGTGTTTTGGCAAGAATGAGTGGAGTGAGGGGTGTAAAGTGTTTAGTACAGAGATTGACACATAACAAATGCTTCAGATAAGATTTAAAAAAAAAGAAAAGGTGCCCTAGCCAGTTGCTCAGTGGTTAGAGCATCGACCCACTGACTGAAGGGTGGCGGGTTTGATTCTGGTCAAGGGCACATACCTTGGTTGCAGGCTCGATGCCCGGCCCCCATCGGGGCGCATGTAGAAGGCAGCCAATCGATGTGTCTCTTTCATACCCATGTTTCTGTCTCTCCCCCTCCCTTCTACTCTCTCTAAACATCAATGGAAAAATATCCTCAGGTGAGGATTAAAAAGAAAGGAATTGCAGGGCCCTGTGCAGTTCCCCATCCTCAGCTCCCTGGCACCGCCTCTAGGGAGGTCTTACCTCCTAGGACAATGAGGGCACACTGGAGTCCGAAATGCCTGGGTTCACCTTTCAGCTCCTCCATCTATTAGTGATACAACCAACTTGATTCCTTCCTCTAGCCTCAGCTTTCTGTCCTGTAAAATGGGTATCTCCCTCAGGCTGACCAAGTTTTTAGCTCAGTGCCTGGCACATAGTGGGCCTTCATATCTAAGTGTGTTTTCCTTCCTCTCTCCCAAAGAGCCATCACCGCTGCCATCTTCTCCTCCTCCTCCTTCTCCTCCTCCTTACCGACCACCTCCTAGATCACCTCCTCCACCTCATATGCCTCCTCAATCGTACTTCCAAGGCCCCCGAGTTATTCACACAGGTGAGTGCTCCTGCCTCCTCTCCTTGCCCTGGCTATTCCCCAAGACTCTGCCCCCCAGCGCCTCCTCTGGGAAGCCCTCCTTCCCTGCCCCCTCAGCCGCCAGTGGCCACTTTGCCCAAAGCCATGCGCATTTCCCTCCAATGTGAAATCTCCAGTGCGGGGAGAGGGGAGGTCTGGTACACAGTAGGTGCTCAGGAAATGCGTGTGAAGTAGAATCCTGTTATCTACTCTGCCAAGGCGCTACCCCAACCACAGGTGAGGGGGTGCCGACCCCCAGGTGGGGCCTGGGCTTGGGGATTGTTAAACACTTGCCGGGGAATTCGGGAACACTGGGAAGGCTGAGAGCTGCTGGATTCGGTTGTGAATTCCCGGTGGCCAGAGCGAAGGCGGCATCCTCACTGTTGTCAAGACCATAGAGCCCGTGGGTCACTCCTTCCAGCCAGTTCTTTCCCGAGTTCTCTGCCAAACGGGGTGGCTACATCAGGCTTCAGGGGTCCAAACCCAGCACCCCCGCCCCCTGGGCCCCAGAAAAACCCAAGTCCTCATGGCTCTGAACAGTCCACTAGACCAGGCCCTGCGCCCTGGGTCAGACACCAGAGGCCCTGAGACCAGGCTCCTGACAGGAGACGCAGCCGGCACCGCAGCCTTCGCTGCCCACCAGGCTGCAGGGTTTACAAGGGCTGCGCACACTTTTTGGTCCCTGTGTACAAATGCAAGAGGAAGAGACAAGAAGAAGGCTTTTGGGTTTTCTGTTGTGTTGGGTGTGTGTGTGTGTGTGTGTGTTTGCAATGCAACTGCTTTCCCGTGTCGGTGGGAGCTTTTTGACGGCAGGGTTAGCAAGCAGCTCTGGCCGAATTAAACCAAAGCCCGAGAGGGACTGCGTGGGCGGGATGTCCTGGGAACACACTGGATTGATGTTGAATCCAGTTTAAACCCAGAAAGGCTCCCAGCTCCCTGGGTCCCCAGTCAGCGAGGCAGGGTGTCTGGATTGAGGAGGCCCCTGAGCCCTGAGGCTGGTGGTTGGAGGGAAAGGGACTGCTGGGGGCTTGGGGCCCCTGTGGACGGTCTGGGCTGCTCGGGGAGTACGAGAACCTGCAGAGGGCACAGGCCATGCGAGGGTCCACCCAGTGGTGGACGCTGAGGAGAGGGGTGTGAGGTCTGACCCGCCCCTTCCCGCCCCCCAAGCTGTGTTCAGCGGTGTGCCTATGTTGGCGACTTCCATGCCCATAAGCTACCTGTGTCCGTACTGCGGGAACTACGTCATCACAGTGACCACCCCGATCCCGGGGATCCTCACCTGGTTGCTGTGTACAGGCCTCTTCATGTTTGGGTGAGTTGGCACCCCGGCCATCGGCGGGGGAGGGTCTGCTGGCTGGGGAGGGCTGTCCGGGCAGAGGAGGCAGGGCAGGGCCAAGCAGCGGGGGTGCAGGCTTGGCGGGGCGCACCCAGCCTGGCCCCTGGCCCACGGCCCACTGCTCCTGAGGCTGCAGGTGTATCCTGGGCTGCTGTCTCTTCCCCTTCTGCGTGGACAGTTTAATGGATGTGAGTCACACGTGTCCCATGTGCCGGCGGGAACTCTTCCGCTACCATCGCCTGTGAACCTCCACGAAATAAATGTCTAATAAGTGACCTTTACCTGCCCATGTCTGAGTTGTAATTGGATGGTCCCACTCTGACCACTGGGTACACTGGCTCTTGGATCTAAGGAGGTGCTAATCTAGCCTCTGCCTGAGGCTACCCAGCAGAAGCCAGCTGTAAAGCAATGCAAGTTGCCCTGGGGCCTTGGGGCAGCTGCAGTTTGTTAAGTAATTTTCAGATTACAAAGGGCCGGGCCTTTCGTATGTAAAAGCCTCCGTGCAGGGCTTGGGCGGGGCGGGGTCCCAGGGGATCAACGGGGTGGGCGGAGTGAGTAGTATGGCTGCTCTCAGTCCTGTCCTCAGAGGCCCAGGCAATCGCTACATGTGCCTCAGAGAGAAAGCTGCCCTCGAGTTCCGACCGATGCCAGAAAGTCCCATTTCTCCCGTATGAGTCTGGGTCCCCAGAGACTCGCCCTGAGACTCCCTCCTGATTGAAAAAGACAATCGTGTCCTCAGCTGCCAGCCCGCTACGCATGCACCTACGCACCTTTGTATTTTACTTCCGCACCGCACCTCCTCTGAGTCTCGGTATGCTTTTTTCTTTCCTTCTAGTTGGAGAATTTCCACTCAGCCAGCCTTCCTGTGGTTCTGGATGATGTCTGTTCCTTCTTTTAGTTGTATTTTTTAAAAATATATTTTATTGATTTTTTTACAGAGAGGAAGGAAGAGGGATAGAGAGCTAGAAACATCGATGAGAGAGAAACATCAATTCAGCTGCCTCCTGCACACTCCCTACTGGGGATGTGCCCGCAACCAAGGTACATGCCCTTGACCGGAATCGAACCTCGGACCCTTCAGTCCGCAGGCCGACGCTGTATCCACTGAGCCAAACCGGTTACGGCTAGTTGTATTTTTGAAGTGGTTGTGCGAGGCAGCAATCTCCGGTGTTTACCTATGCCGCCATCTTGGTTTCTCGTCGGGAACTGTTTTCTTGCTCCTACTCTGGGTAAAGGCATTGGAGGGGAAACCCAGGGTCCCCTCCTCCCCCCAAATCATGAAGCTCCTTTCCTGGGAGGGTCAGGTTCCCAATGAAACACAGGGGATCCCCAACCATCACACACATTGTCATTAAAATTATGGGGCTCCCAGTGCCCCCCCATCAGACACTCTGGGGACCCAGGGTCCCAGAATTTCTTGCCCAAACAGCCCTCCACCTGCATGCTGGTCCCCAGGGCTGGCCAAGAGCTGACTGCTGGGGGTGCCGAGAGACAGAGCTGGGTGTCCGCACTTCGAGAGGCCCCTTTCAGGGCAGGAGGGACCCAAGGTGGGAAGAATGGAGGAGACCCAAAAAGCCCCTCCCAGAAGGAGCAGGGGCAATGTCGCCGTTTCTGGAGCCGTCCTGTCCAGAGGCCAGGGCGCGGCCCGGAGTAGCATGTGCCCTGGAGGCTTCTTAAGTTCTGTCCTTGACTCTGGTACTTATTTACCGGGGTCCTCAGGCATGTTAACCTCTCTGAGCCTAGTCTCCACATCTGCAAAATTGGAAAAATTTTCAGGCACCACACAGCTACCTCCCTGGTGTTTTGGCAAGAATGAGTGGAGTGAGGGGTGTAAAGTGTTTAGTACAGAGATTGACACATAACAAATGCTTCAGATAAGATTTAAAAAAAAAGAAAAGGTGCCCTAGCCAGTTGCTCAGTGGTTAGAGCATCGACCCACTGACTGAAGGGTGGCGGGTTTGATTCTGGTCAAGGGCACATACCTTGGTTGCAGGCTCGATGCCCGGCCCCCATCGGGGCGCATGTAGAAGGCAGCCAATCGATGTGTCTCTTTCATACCCATGTTTCTGTCTCTCCCCCTCCCTTCTACTCTCTCTAAACATCAATGGAAAAATATCCTCAGGTGAGGATTAAAAAGAAAGGAATTGCAGGGCCCTGTGCAGTTCCCCATCCTCAGCTCCCTGGCACCGCCTCTAGGGAGGTCTTACCTCCTAGGACAATGAGGGCACACTGGAGTCCGAAATGCCTGGGTTCACCTTTCAGCTCCTCCATCTATTAGTGATACAACCAACTTGATTCCTTCCTCTAGCCTCAGCTTTCTGTCCTGTAAAATGGGTATCTCCCTCAGGCTGACCAAGTTTTTAGCTCAGTGCCTGGCACATAGTGGGCCTTCATATCTAAGTGTGTTTTCCTTCCTCTCTCCCAAAGAGCCATCACCGCTGCCATCTTCTCCTCCTCCTCCTTCTCCTCCTCCTTACCGACCACCTCCTAGATCACCTCCTCCACCTCATATGCCTCCTCAATCGTACTTCCAAGGCCCCCGAGTTATTCACACAGGTGAGTGCTCCTGCCTCCTCTCCTTGCCCTGGCTATTCCCCAAGACTCTGCCCCCCAGCGCCTCCTCTGGGAAGCCCTCCTTCCCTGCCCCCTCAGCCGCCAGTGGCCACTTTGCCCAAAGCCATGCGCATTTCCCTCCAATGTGAAATCTCCAGTGCGGGGAGAGGGGAGGTCTGGTACACAGTAGGTGCTCAGGAAATGCGTGTGAAGTAGAATCCTGTTATCTACTCTGCCAAGGCGCTACCCCAACCACAGGTGAGGGGGTGCCGACCCCCAGGTGGGGCCTGGGCTTGGGGATTGTTAAACACTTGCCGGGGAATTCGGGAACACTGGGAAGGCTGAGAGCTGCTGGATTCGGTTGTGAATTCCCGGTGGCCAGAGCGAAGGCGGCATCCTCACTGTTGTCAAGACCATAGAGCCCGTGGGTCACTCCTTCCAGCCAGTTCTTTCCCGAGTTCTCTGCCAAACGGGGTGGCTACATCAGGCTTCAGGGGTCCAAACCCAGCACCCCCGCCCCCTGGGCCCCAGAAAAACCCAAGTCCTCATGGCTCTGAACAGTCCACTAGACCAGGCCCTGCGCCCTGGGTCAGACACCAGAGGCCCTGAGACCAGGCTCCTGACAGGAGACGCAGCCGGCACCGCAGCCTTCGCTGCCCACCAGGCTGCAGGGTTTACAAGGGCTGCGCACACTTTTTGGTCCCTGTGTACAAATGCAAGAGGAAGAGACAAGAAGAAGGCTTTTGGGTTTTCTGTTGTGTTGGGTGTGTGTGTGTGTGTGTGTGTTTGCAATGCAACTGCTTTCCCGTGTCGGTGGGAGCTTTTTGACGGCAGGGTTAGCAAGCAGCTCTGGCCGAATTAAACCAAAGCCCGAGAGGGACTGCGTGGGCGGGATGTCCTGGGAACACACTGGATTGATGTTGAATCCAGTTTAAACCCAGAAAGGCTCCCAGCTCCCTGGGTCCCCAGTCAGCGAGGCAGGGTGTCTGGATTGAGGAGGCCCCTGAGCCCTGAGGCTGGTGGTTGGAGGGAAAGGGACTGCTGGGGGCTTGGGGCCCCTGTGGACGGTCTGGGCTGCTCGGGGAGTACGAGAACCTGCAGAGGGCACAGGCCATGCGAGGGTCCACCCAGTGGTGGACGCTGAGGAGAGGGGTGTGAGGTCTGACCCGCCCCTTCCCGCCCCCCAAGCTGTGTTCAGCGGTGTGCCTATGTTGGCGACTTCCATGCCCATAAGCTACCTGTGTCCGTACTGCGGGAACTACGTCATCACAGTGACCACCCCGATCCCGGGGATCCTCACCTGGTTGCTGTGTACAGGCCTCTTCATGTTTGGGTGAGTTGGCACCCCGGCCATCGGCGGGGGAGGGTCTGCTGGCTGGGGAGGGCTGTCCGGGCAGAGGAGGCAGGGCAGGGCCAAGCAGCGGGGGTGCAGGCTTGGCGGGGCGCACCCAGCCTGGCCCCTGGCCCACGGCCCACTGCTCCTGAGGCTGCAGGTGTATCCTGGGCTGCTGTCTCTTCCCCTTCTGCGTGGACAGTTTAATGGATGTGAGTCACACGTGTCCCATGTGCCGGCGGGAACTCTTCCGCTACCATCGCCTGTGAACCTCCACGAAATAAATGTCTAATAAGTGACCTTTACCTGCCCATGTCTGTGCTACTGGGGTCCCCCCACCCGCTCCTGCCCAGGGCTGTGAAGGGACTGAGGCAGTCCCCACCCGCCCAGTGGTTCTCAGCCTTCTGGCCCTTTAAATACAGTTCCTCATGCTGTGACCCAACCATAAAATTATTTTCGTTGCTACTTCATAACTGTAATGTTGCTACTGTTATGAATTGTAATGTAAATATCTGATATGCAGGATGGTCTTAGGCGACCCTTGTGAAAGGGTCGTTCGACCCCCAAAGGGGTCGAGACTCACAGGTTGAGAACCGCTGCACCCGCCCTTCTCCTGCCCTCCGGTCCCCAAGGAAGGTCAGGTGGGCGCTCAGACCGGCGCCTGCACACAGCAGGGGCTGTGAGCACCGGGTGAAGGAAGGATGCCTGGCCCTCCCTTCGCATGGTCCACCCTCTCCTGACCTCTGAAACACCACAACCCATCCATTGATCAGTTTTAGCTTCTAAGTCCTCTAGTCCACATCTCCTGCCAGTAGGTCTCAAGATGACTCTTCCCACCTCCTCATGTGGCCCTGGGCGCTGTGGATGGCATGACCACCTCCCTGCAGTGCCTCCTCTGACCCCATCCCCTCAGCAGCACCCTGTCCTGTCCTTGTTGCCCCACAATAATTTCTTTCCCTCCTTGATACCCCACCCTGCTCTTCCTTAAGGGAGGCACCAGCCCCTTTTCTGCCCAGCCTCTTTCCCCCAAGTCTTGCCTACGCCCTCCGGTCCTCACCAGCAACCAGTGACTGGCACATAGAAGTTCAATTAACGGGTGAGAATTAGTAACTTCAGCTCTGATTATGCCAGACGCCAGCCTAGAACCTTCCAGGCTCAGGACTGAAGCTGACATTTTAACAGGGGGTCACCTGAGTCACTGTGAGTGGGCCTCTGCCTCTCCCCACCTCTGTGCCCAGCCACCCTCACCCATTCTTTCTGTTGGGCCCAGCAGCACCATCACTTATTCTCGGGCCTCTGCCACTTCCCCAGGGGCAGGCAGGCTCATGGGAGCCGGGAAGGAAGGAAATCTGCCCAAATCTGTCCCCACCTCACCCCCACCCCACCCCAGCAGAGGTTTAATTCTCGAAGTTCCTTCATGGCCACAGCACAGTAGCCATCCTGCACATCACGCTGACTGCGGGAACGTGGAGAAAACTTAGATGCTGAAAGGCCCTCGCTGGCTTAGAGCGGGTGCTTGTGGGTAAATGAGTCTGCTGGGGATGAGGTCAGGGGCGGGCATGCGCTAACGGAAAACCCAGGGCACAACTGAGGGCCATTTCACTTGGCAAAATCCAAACATATATGATCCCATCTTTCCAATATAAATGAATTTCAGAGAGAAGGAAGTGAAGGAATTAGGGGGCAGAAGGGCCTGTGAAGTTCATTTCATCCACTGAAGTGTAGCAGGAGGTCGGCTGTAATGCTCCCCCATCCTGGGTACATGATGCCAGGGGCGGAGGTGGCTGGTCCCGATCCAGGAACTGGACCAGCAGCTGGAAACACGGTCCGTCCACCCAAGATGAATGCAGTGCAGGAGCGAGAAAAGGTACGGCGGCAGGAAGGTGCGCGTGTGTGTGCATGTGTGTGCGGTGTGCCTGCACAGAGCTGAGTCGTGGAGGCACTGAAGCATCACGGTGGCCTCTTGGCAGACATTCCTGGAAGCCAATCAGTCAGGTGAGAGCTGCTCTGGCCACAGCTGCTGTGACAGCGCTGGCAGGTCCAGGGTTGCACCAGCCAGGGGAAGGAAGGGTGACAGATTTCTCCAGATCTGAATGTCAGCCTGCAGCTGCCCCACTGCCATCTCCCGCACCCCCAGATGCCCTGGGAAGCCAGGGGAGCACCGACTTCCGAGGAGGCACTAGCTGTGGGACTGAGAGTCCCAATGTCCACATCCAAACAGAGACCCATTTTGTCTTTTTAAAATATATTTTTATTGATTTCAGAGAGGAAGGGAAAGACAGAAACATGATGAGAATCATTGATCAGCTGCCTCCTGCACACCCCTGAGGATCGAGCCCGCAACCCAGGCACGTGCCCTGACTGGGAACCGAATTGTGACCTCCTGGTTCATAGGTCAATGCTCAACCACGGAACCACACCGGCTGGGCCAGAGACCCATTTCAGTGAGATTTTAGGATTACAGAGGTGAAGCATCTGACAAACTAGACCCCAGTTCCTGGGAACCAATCCCTCATTTATAATAAATCCGAACAGAATGGCGCCAAATGGACCCAGGGCGACAGGAAGGCCTCGGGTCTACACGTGGGGCCCAACTGGTCCCATGTTTCAAGGCGAGACCATGCGGTCTCAAACAGGGTGAGCGTCATCACGGAGGGAAGGGCGGGTCACGGAGGCAGAACTAGCCCAGGGGCCACCACCATCTGGAGGAGGAAGTCTTGAGCTGGGACTTGGCCAACCCCCGGCTGAGACAAAGCCCAGGCCCCTGCAGGGGGGCCAGGCTTTGCGGGCTGGTCACAGGGCAGGCCTGGCTCTGCCTATGGCCGGAGCCAATTCATCCGAGGAGCTTGACTGCAGGCCGGTGTCTCATCCCACGCTGGCCAGGCGACTTGCCGGTTTTGACTTGGATGCCCAGATAGCTCCACAGGTAGTCCCATGACAGCGACGTCCATAGCAGACGCAGGGCCACTGTGGCGCATGAGCACACTGCCCACTGTGGGGCTGGTGTCCCGGGCCCTCCTTCACTCACCCGGCTCAGACACCATGTGCCTCAACAAGGCCCTGCCCGGCCCGGGCAGCACCCTTGCGAGAGCCTTGGACCAATCCCCAGGCTGTCTGATTAGACGGCCCAATGTTAAGAAAATATTGTCAACTTTTAACATTGGGAAATTCACACTGAAAATCCAGACTTTTCAGCTTCTTTGAAAACTCAGGTGCACAGGATGCACATTCAGCAAGCGTCAGACTGAAGCACGTCTGTCCCCTCGGCCCAGCCCTCCCCCCTCCTTGGGCAATCCTACTCGCTGCCTTGGACACCTGGGCCCAGAGCATCATTTCCACTTCTCAGTGGCCTAGTGTCCGAGCCTGGTCCCAGGGTGGCCTTGGTTCTCCTGCCCCAGGACCTCACTGTCTCCCTGGGCCCAGCTTTCCCTAAAGGCTGACTTGGCCTTTCCATGCTCAAGGTTTGTTTCTGCACCAGCTGGGAGCTGCCAGCAGTGCGGCCGGGACAGCGTGTCCGGCAGGGCCCAGCGCTCAGAGGGAGACAGTGCCCTGCCCTGCGTGCCTGCAGCTCCCGCTGGGGCACCTGGGGGCGGGGTGGCATGCGGCAGTGAGGTTGTTTCAAAGCCAGCTCTGTACTTAGCCACCGAGAGCCCAGGTAGGTGGTCAGCCTCCAAGCCTGTGTCCTGTCACTCTGGGCTGCCCACATGCCTCGCTGGGAACCAAGATGGGGCGTTCTCAGTGGCGGGTTGTTTGAGGACTGCTGACTTGTGGCCAGAGTCAAGACAGGACACGTCCCCACCTTCCTTATCATGGGAGCACAGAGGAGGGTGTGACGCTGGCCTCCCAACCCAGCTCTGCCATCAGTGAGTCTCTCACAGCCGGGGATACCGCCTGCCATTCCCAGTGGCCATCACCTCTAGCCACGCCAAGGCTGTGTGGACAGAGGCGAGGAAGCAGGACGGAGGGCGGGTTGTATAGACTGTTAGGCCCCCCCCGCACCCGCATGCCTGCGAGGAGTGAACATAGCTGACCCTGAACCTGCCACCCCTACCCCAATGCCGACTTCACAGAAAGGAGTCCGGAAGGGCTGTGGGTGCCCACTCCTCACTAGTGGGCAAGGGGAAAGGCCAGCACAAGCTGCCACCCCCACCGCGCCCGTGGCCAGGATTGGGAAATGGGGGACTCGGACCCTATATGTCCCATGCAGCTCCTGGTCACCCCCGAAGGTCGGGAACACCAGAGCCCCCGTGCTCTGTCTCACACTTAACTCCAGCTCATCGGGCAGACCACAAAGGAACACATCTGACTAGTGGCTTTGCCCAGCACGGCAGGCACCAGCCACGTGGCAACCTGCAGTTCACACCCTCGGCCATTCTGGCCACACGTGGCTGTGGCTGCTGCACAGGCAGGCACACGAAGTCGCTGTGGCAGAGGACGCTGGAGAGCCAGGTCACAGCACAGCTGCCGATGGCCGGAAACACTGCTCAGTGACCCCCAGGCGTGCGGAACGTGGCTCTAACGTGACAGCACCGTGAATGTGTTCAGGGAGGGCCAAGGCGGCCTCCATTCCGATGCACTTCCACCCCAGGGGCCATCCTACCACCAAACACTGCAGCCAACCAGGATTCCCCCCAGGAGCTCCTTTCCTGCTTAGTCTCGGGGCCGGCGAACTTGGACTTTTACCTGTTCTTTTGTACATGAAGTGCACCAGGCTCGGCCTCACCTCACTGCAGGGTGGTCTGTGGCTGTGTTCAGGCTGCAGCGCAGAGCTGTGTCCCATGACCAGCAACCCGCAGAGCCCAAAGCATATCGCGCATTCAACTGCACAGCAGCTCCAAACGAGAAACACCCACCTTCACACCACCCCAACCACCACACGGGCCGCCAAGCGAGGCGAGGAGAGCCCCGGGAAGGCCTTGCTCAAGGAGCGATGGTTCTGGACACAGCCTGTTCTCACTGCAGCCACAGAACTCTGGCCCCGGGTCACCTCTGCAGCTGTTTCTCCTTCGCGCCGCGTTACGCACCAAAGCCATACCTCCCAACACGGCAGACTCCGGGTTAAAGCGGATTTGTTAGTAGGTAAGGCCACTTGCAGACACGACTGACGTGCCTCACTTCCAATGCGGCCAACTTGAAGCTCTTAGAGAAAGCCAGCAATCATTTCAAAGGCAGTCCCACCCTGGACGGGCAGGGACACTGGGAGGTGCTCTGGGAACTGCTGTTAAAGGGATGGCGATGGCAAGCCCTGTCCTCACCTAGTGTGCTTTTAATTTAATGTGAGCTTCTTCCAGCACACCGCTCCTGGGTGTAC